GAACAAACCAAGTAATGGAATGGGAGGATAGTAGTTATAAACTTTTTTAAAAAATCCATGCCCAATTTTTTTGTTTTGAACTTTGCTTTGCCACTCTAGGCTGCAGTGTATAATCTGACCTTTAGGTGGTTTCCAGATTTATGATCCTAAACATAAGAGTCACACAGAATACTGAAAAGGGCTTTTTTCTATCTCTGTGCTGCTAGGTAGAGCAGAGAGCCAAAAAACTGGATTATATTCCACCACCATTAGGAAAACTGGCAGTTATCCTGCTTCCTTCCCCTGTTTGTTGGGAGCCTCGAAATACATTTTGTGTTCCTAAGAAATTCCTGTTTCTAGATAAAATATTACTTATCCAGCCATTTTTGTTTTGATAGGTTGCAGTGTTCTTTGTGAAGCCCTGTTGCTTAGCAGTGCGCCATTCTCATTCCATATCTTTCTGGAAAAGAGTCTGACCCACTTTCCTTTTTCATCATTGGATGTTTGTTTAGTTACTTCCATGGGCTACAGCAGGTCTCAAACTGGAAGCACAGTATACCTAATCTGTTGTCTAACTGCTTGATTAATTGCTTGATTGCATTAACTATTTCATTAGTTGGTAATACAGATCTGCTAATGTATGATATACAATGGTAAACATGGCACCATGCCAGATTATGTAGTCAATTGGGATATCCTTTTACATTAAGTTTAAAAGGATTATTACATTTTGGGTGAAGGAATGTACAAGTTTAAGCATATTATGTATTAGCTGATGTACAGTTTCTGTGGTTCTTACTCCATCAGCTAATAATTTCCATTTATTTTAAATCAAGAAATCATTCATCTTAGTCCATGACTACCATATTTAAAAATCTTCTTTCTTTTGTTATTCATTCTGTGAAGTCAGATGACATAAGTGAAAGGGTCCCAAATAATTTGTCAAGTGTGAACATAGGGTCAGACCTCTAAGAAGACCAACTTGCATGTTGATCCCTCCCATTAGTTACTGGAGGGGGGGGGGTGTCACTTCATAGGGAAAATAAAGAGATTATGGTTAGAGGGGAGAATTTTTCTGGATGGACTCTTAAGGGATCATGAAGGGATATGGATAAAGTGAGGTTGTTGCCCATAGCTGTCAAATCACAGCAGTTCTTAATTAAGAACAGTCTCTCTTGAATATGAGGTACTGAAAAATCCAGTACATGTCCCGTTATCCTGTACACCTCTATTTGCGAGTAAATATGTGTGATAGTTCTGTTTTCACAAATTTCAGTTACTTTTGTTTCCTACATTTTTGTATTCATGTTAATTTTCTACTTGTTTAAATTGAAAACTATTTCCAGTTGCATTTCTTGGATTTCCTTACGATTTGGATCCATTTCTGGGTGGGGGTATTGTCCCTCCTTCACCCATGGTATTTTCTTTGCCAGTCTCCAAAGTGAGCGAAGACAGGGTCTCAATTATATAGGTAATCGAAGTCAAAACACATTCCCAAAATAATAATCTATTTATTTTTTTAAAAAAAATATTTCTATCACGCCTTTCCATGTGCAAGGTGGCTTATAAAATGTAAACATACACAAATATAAACAAGTGAAAACTGCACCATTGTCCTACTACCAGCTGCTGGAGACATTGATTTGTTATTTCAGCTAAAGGTGTATCAAAGTAATTCTGTTTTTTACCTTTTACAGAAGAAAGAACATGTATGAGCTTTTTGCACGATCTCTGTCAGGCAGTTCCAAAGTGTGGACAGAGCCACTGAAAATGATTATACATGGGCTGTAGTTGAACAGACCTCCTAAACAGAAGGAACTGTCAGAAGTGAAGCTTCTGAGCTGATAACCTGAGCTGGTGCACAGGATCATATTGGGAAAAGCAGTCTAATGGATGGGCAAAGGTCCTGCAACTTTCTGTCAGTCATCAGTTCCCCAGTTTCCTGTTTGGTGTGTGTGTGTGTAGAACAACTAACAGCTTATCAGGCCCCATGGAATGCTGGAGGAGAAGAAAATCCATAAAACCAAGTCAAATAGCCTCCATAGTCAGCTGAAATGTTATAACTGAATAAGTTCAGCAAATGCTGTCGGCTACACTTGTAAATAGTTTCAAGCCTCTTTTCCGAACACCTTTCCTTCCCTGTCCCAGGACATGAATAAAAGTTACTGTTTTTTCCTGTTTCCCTCATGTCTCATGTAAAGTACTAGGGAGGACAAGGCATTTCTAGAACATAACTGTTGTGTATGAAATGTAATGTATGAAGGTATTGAGCTTGAGTCTGACAAGGGTATTGTAAACCGACCTATCAGAACAAAGGAAGCTCTGGAGGGAAGCAAAGTGATTGGTCTTTATGTACAGTTTATGATTGGATACTATCTAACATGTGGGCGTGGCTTGCCAAGCCCGGACTGTTTAAAAAGGAGCCTGTTGCTCCATTGTTTGTCTCGTTCTGGTTCTTCTGACTTCGTGTTCAGTAAAGCTGTTATCACTGTTCACCTGCTGCCTCAAGTCTCGTATCTAACAATAACGCAAGCAGTACCCGAGGGAAGAAGAACTCTAAGTCCATCATAACTGTAGCAGGCAGCAACACTAATTAGGCTGTGATAAATTTCCTCATGTGTACTTAAATAACTGCATTTAGAAGCTACTTGGGTTCAGTCTGTCAGGTGGAGGCTAAAATAAAGACCACACTGGTCAGACTTCACATCACACTACTTCTTAGAACCCTTCTTATTTAGAACCCTGACTTTCGCTGGTGATCCATTAGATATATAAGGTGTGAACAGCTTCCAAGGTAACAACCAGCACTTTGAATTATGCTCAGGAACAAGTGGGTAACCAGTGAAGCTGTTGAAACCCAGGTGTTACTAGTCAGTAATCTAGTAGCAGCATTCTGTACCAGCTGAAGTTTCTGAATAGCCTTTTGGGGCAGATCCATGTATAAAGCCTTACAATAATTTAGCCTAAAGGTTACAGTGGCATGGATCAGCATGGCAAAGCCAGCATGATCAAAATAGGGCCAGTTGGAGAATGCCATGTAGATAATAGAAATCACTCCTGGGTACTTTCCCCAGTTTGCTTTTCTAAAAACAGTGCTGGACCCAATCTTTCTCCCAAGGTTAAGTCAGAGAAGTGGGCTGTCACCTAATCAATTTGTGTTGGTGGCAACCCCATACCGTCAAAACAGACTCTTGTTTCCTGTATGTCCGTTTCAAACCTCTTGATCTGTCTTTTGTTTCTCACCTTCTTTCTTCTGTCCTTTGACCCTTGTTAGTGTATGTGGTGAGGCACGTGTGCTTGATGGGAATGTGACCCTACCTCTTGAACAGAGCTCGTGTTCAAAAAACTAGCCTCTGAAACTCAGTGTGGATAATTTATCTCTCCTCTGTAACTTTTCACTCTGCTGCTGACTCTGCTTTACTATCTGAAACAACATGCCCATTGTTGTTGTTGTTCAGTCACACAGTTGAGTCCAACTCTTCACGACCCCATGGACCAAATCACACCAGGCCCTTCTGTCCTCCGTCGTCCTCCAGAGTTTGCTCAACTTCATGTTCACTGTATCAGTAACACTGTCTAACCATCTCATCCTTTGCCTCCCCCTTCTTCTGTTACCTTCAATCTTTCCCATCATCAGGGTCTTCTCCAATAAGTGCTCCCTTCTCATTTGGTGGTCAAGTATTTGAGCTTCAGCTTCAGTATCTGGCCTTCCAGGGAACAGTCAGGGTTAATTTCTTTTAGGATCAACTGATTTGATCTCCTTGCAGTCCAAGGGACTCTCAAGAGTTTTCTCCAACACCATAATTCGAAAGCATCTGTTCTTTGGCGCTCGGCCTTCCTTATGGTCCAACTCTCACAGCCGTACTGGGAATACCATTTCTTTGACCATATGGACTTTTGTTGGCAGGGTGATGCTCTACTTTTTATTATGCTGTCTAGGTTTGCCATAGCTTTCCTCCTAAGGAGCAGGTGTCTTTTAATTTCATGGCTGCAGTCACTGTCTGCAGTGATCTTGGATCCCAGGAATGTGGTTTTTCACTGCTTCCATGACTTCCCCTTCTATTTGCCAAGGAGTGATGGGGCCAGATGTTGATGTTTTTGTTTTTGATGTTGAGTTTCAAGCCAACGTTTGCGCTCTCCTCTTTCACTTTGAGCAAGAGGCTCTTGAGGTCCTCTTCACTTTCTGCCATTAGAGTGGTATCGTCTGCATATCTAAGGTTGTTGATATTTTCCCCAGCAATCTTATTTCCAGTTTGTGATTAATCCAGGCCGGCATTTCGCATGATGTACACTGCATATAAATTGAATAAGCAGGGTGACTATATACATACTTGTCGTACTCCTTTTCGATGCTAAACCAATCAGTTGTTCCATATCCAGTTCTAACTATCGCTTCTTGACCCTTATACAGGTTTATCAGGAGCAGTGTTCCCTCTAAGCTGAGTTAGTGTGAGCTAGCTCACAGTTTTTTAGCCTCCAGCTCACACATTTTTGTCTTAGCTCAGGAAGGATGGCTCCAAAGCAAACTAATTTATTCAGTAACCAAATCGCTCGCTCACAGCTTTAATGCCAGTAGCACAAAGTAGAATTTTTGCTCACAAGACTCCACAGTTTAGAGGGAGCATTGCTCAGGAGACATGTGAGGAGCATACTTTTGCATGCATCTACAGACCTGCTAATCTTTGAACACCAGTTAAAATAATGCTCCACATGCCAGCAGTAGTGATAATTGAATCATTGAATGTCTCCCCATGTTATGAGCAATGCCACTTCTTCTTCTTCAGTACTAGAAATGGCTGTTAGAGTTAGGCAAGAAGGCTGAAGTTTATGAAGAATAATTTTCTAGATTTAGGTATGCAGATATGGATATAACTTAAAGAAAATGCCTCATTGTGATTTAAGTTCCCATTTAACTGTCTGTGATATGTTAAAAGAGTAATAACAACATAGTGGTTTAGCTGATCTGGATTTTAAAACTTTTTAATGTTAAAACAAAAGAACTTGTTTCAACTTTGCTTTAGGTATGTCAGCAGCCAAGTTGTTATCCGAATCTGGACTTAATGTTGTGGTTTTAGAAGCTCGTGACAGAGTTGGGGGACGAACTTTCACAATTAGAGTAAGTAGCATTTTTATTATATTTAAAACCAAACATATAACACACAGTATGACAAATCACTGCATTTGGATGGTATTGATGGTCAGAGACCTGAATGTTTTTATTCCAGTATCGGATAAACAAAATCAGTTTTCTTAAGCATATATTTTAATATAAATCATTTTTCTCTATAATGTCACTTTCCAGATTTGGATTTGTCCATCATGTTGGTGTAGACAGATTTCCAAAGACATGGAACACACTCTTTTACAGCTGTTATTAGACTAGAAACCAGTTCACTATAATTCATGAAAACACTATTATATTAAGTAACCCACTAACAGGCTTTTAGGAGCTGCGGTGGCTCAAGTGGTTAAGACGCTGAACTGCAAGCTGTGGAAGGTCAGTAGTTCAGTAGTTCGAGACCCTGGGGTGCCACATGACGGAGTGAGCTCCCGTCTCTAGTTCCAGCTCCTGCCAACCTAGCGGTTCGAAAGCAAGAAATTGCAAGTAGATAAATAGGTACCACCGGTGGGAAGGTAACAGCGTTCTGTGTGCCTTGATGTTTAGTCATGCCAGCCACATGACCATGGAAACATCTTTGGACAGCGCTGGCTCTTCGGCTTTGAAATGGAGATGAGCATCGCAACCCTAAAGTCAGATTCGACTGGCTTTTGAGCAAGGGAACCTTTACCTTTTTAACAGACTTTTAGTATAGAAATCGAGCCAGTTTGTGTAGTGGTTAAGAGCATAGACTCTAATGTGGGAGAATCAGGTTTGATTCCCCACTCCTCCACATGCAGCTACTGCCACATGCAGTCACATGTTTACCTGAGTTAGTATTGCATTCCTTCCTCTGGTGGTCCAGGGCTGGGCAGTCTGAACTTATGAGAAGTATATCTTCCCTGGAGGCAGGCAGGGTAACTGATGATTTTGATCCCCTAGGGGAGGACCTTCTCTCCATAGCTTCTACTTTCACCATTAGCAGATGGGTCAGAGGGTGTATTCATCTGGCATATAAGGCCAGGGGCCTTCATCCCCCACCAGGCATAATAGCTCACTTGCTCAGGGCAGCGGCAGCTTCGGCAGCATACAGATCTTTCCCTTTCTTAGAGGTAATCTGCTGTGCAGCCACTTGGAAGTCAGTTTATTCTTTCACCAAACAGTACTGTATTGACAAGGCAGCCTCTGCTGACACAACCTTTGGTAGAAGGGTTCTGCAGTATACCTTTTCAGGCTAAGGTTTCAGTGCCCCCGGGGCATACTGCTTTTCTATGTCCCATAGGTTCAGACTGCCCCACCCTGGACCACTGGATCGTGGAAGATTTTTTCACTTACCATGAATCTCCCTTCTCGGTGGTCCTTGGGTGAGGCAGTCTCTTTGCACCCAGGTGTAGAGCTGGTTCTTCCAGAATGGCCTGCAGCCTGGTTAAAGTATGCTGCTTGGGTTCCAGAGGCCTGAACTCTTTTGATGGGGCTCCTTTTGTTTGATCTTCAGCGTTCGGATTTTCTACCATTTCTCTGTTGTACTCTTTTGGTTTGGCTGTTGGTTTTGAGGGGTTTTCCCCTTTCATTCTGTTGTGGTTCTCATGCATAAGAGATGGACTACTTTGGATCAGTCTGGGAGCTGGGGAGAGAAGCTCCTCCCCTAGGAGTTCAGAGTCATCAATGACCCTGCCTGCCTCCAAGGAGGAGCTACTTCCCATAGGTTCAGACAGCCCCACCCTAGGACCACTGAGAAAGGAGATTCATGGTAAGTGAAACAAACCTTCAATTCTCAAATTATCTAAAAATACCACACTGTAGTGCTGGATAGTGATGGTCAACCCCCTCCTCCTTCCAACGTGATTTGAAATAAAACTGGTCTTCCTATCTTTTTCGAAGAATTCTCAACAACAAAAAAAGCTTGGGCTTCTTGGGAATATTTTGAAATCTCAGAAAAACCTGGACCATTCCCAATGTTTCATTCCCAGTTGCACACTGTCTTTTGCCTTCAGCAACAAGTTTCCTGAAAGGAAATGGAGGGCTACCCCTCAGGTGACTTTAAACTCAAAAGCATTATCAACAGGAAATTCTTAGCCCAAAGGTTTCTAGGGATTGCAGTTTAACTAGGACTTCCAGGTTTGCAGTGTGTATCACAACTTACATCCAGCTTCACCCACCGTATTGTGTTCTCTCTTTCTCTTTGCTGCTGCTTCAGGCCAGGCTGTTTCATTCCACAGGCAGAGACGGATAGATTTTGGGACTCTATCCTGCTTTGGTTTTGAGCCACAATTCTGGAGAAAGTTTTCTGGTGACGCGCCAAGACAGTCACCCTCCTCTTACATTTACTCATACTCAACATCATTAGTGCTGAGCAAGTTGTGGTAACAACTAGTGAGCATGAAACACAAGCATATAAACTCTCTCCCTTTCTCCCCTAGAGGCCGAAAATATTCAGTTTCTATTGCTTGCTGTAAACAAGATCCAAAGAGTGATTGCTTAGAAACACTGTGCAAATAAAAACACAAAGTTCTTTATTTTGCTTTCATTCCAAATGTGGTCAACTGAAATCCATGTTTTTGTGCACTTCTACTCTTTAAAATTGTACATGAAGCATAGTTGCTGCCAGGTGCTAATGAGGCTGGGATGTATATTGAAAGTCAATCTGCTCAGCATGTCCCAGCTGGGAAACAGATTATTGTAGAAGAGGCCAGTGTGTAGTAGAAAATAGGGAAACTCTTGTAGCTCAAAGAATTATCAAAAAGTTTGTTACTGCTGTTTTGCTAGTTAAATACAGCAACAGTTTTCCCACAGTCTTTCAACAAGCAGTAACATAGTTCCATAGATAGAATGTTGGGCATAAACAAGGAGACAAAAACGAACTGAATAGCCTTAAGCAAATAATTGTCCTTTGATAATTTTCACCCCACAAGGTGGTTTAATATGAAATGCTACTGATATACTTTAATAATCTACCTTGGAAACTGGGAGTAGAGCAAGAAAAACAAACAAAAATGTCTCAAATCTATATACTTCCTTTTCCCCCCTGGTTGTACCGTGCATAACTAAGACCTGACTGGCAAATGTAATCAGCCATATGACATGAAACAAAACTGTGTGGAGCTGATGAGGCATTTGTATACAGAACTCTTTCCTTGTGGTGGTTTGGTGACATTTGACTGAATTATTAGCACTTGCCTGTGTGGACCAGCCTCTACCACTTTCTAGTATTTATGCAATATTTGTCTTTTGACAGAACGAACAAGTGAGCTATGTAGACGTTGGTGGAGCCTATATAGGACCAACTCAGAATCGAATTCTGCGACTGGCTAAAGAACTTGGTATAGAAACATACAAAGTGGATGTAGTTAAGAGGAGTATCCTACATAAAAATGTAAGAATTTGATCATCTATAATTACCTTTTGGGGTATCCTGCACTGGAAAAACATTTTGTTGATGACTCATTGTTTAAAAAGCATAGATTTTGGGCATGGAACGGGGTTACTGGAGGTGTAGGGGGTGGTATTTGTGAATTTCATGCACTGTGCTGGGAGTTGGACTAGATAACTCTGGAGGTCCCTTCCAACTCTATGAATCCATGATTCTTTGATTCTGTCTCAAGTAGGGTTTTTCACATATGGACAGCTTAATAGACAACACAGGTGGGGACCCGCAACAAAATGTTGCATAATGTGTTGTAGTTTGAAGTTTTCTAAGAAATGTTTTCTAAGTAATGCTGTGAAAGATGATGCTGCCCAATTAAGAGTGTTTTAAGTAATATTGGGCACCATACTGGCAGAATGGTTACTTTTCCATTGTGGCAGCAACTGTTATAGTAATCTCTTGATTTTTCAGTTATGAAATACTTTGCAGAGCAGTGGTTACAGATATGCATCATATCTCCTATATCATAAGTAAGAATGTATTCTGGTTTTTCCATAAATACAGGTATGTTGTGTTCTCCAGCTGCACTGTTGGCATGCTGTGTCAAAATGTCAATATCCATATTTTCCTTGTTTCTGTTGGCTGTGTATGAACGCATTTATACTGCATGTTTTTTTTAAAATTTATCTCTTTCATAGTATAGTTAGTTACTGTTTAAATGGCTTTCTCGCAGTAACCAATTTGTTAGCTTTTTGGATTTTCTCATTTTGACAGGGCTTTCTCTTTTGTAAGGTACTTTTGGCATGGTATTGTTCTGTATGGTACTGATGAGGGATTATTGTTTCTGACAAAAAAGACAAAGATTCTTTCATTTGTTCTGAGTGGTGTCCTCTTAAGGGAGGAGGCATTTGTGTGCCATGTAGACAGGATGGTGTAGATTTTTTCCAGTCACATCTCCACTGGGGCCATGTTCCACCACCACCCTAACTGCTATTTCACCCTACCACTGGAAGGCTTTGTGGGGCTTTTTAAAAGCCAGAAGTTAACTTTCTGCTGTAGCATTATATGATCTATTACTAGCTCCTCTGAATTCCCAGTGTTATGTACTGAGCCTGAACTGTACTTACCCACGGAGGTAGCTTGGGGATGCATAACAATAGCTGGCTATTGGCCAGTATGGGCCAGTAGGGAAACAAGGATCCTAGAGTAAACCAATTGAGAAACAATGTAATGTAAATAGCCTATCGTTGGGAGTGGAGTGTGTTTGGGGTGTAACTTTTTGCAGGCATAAATGCCCGGCTTCGGTCAGGGATTTTCATTCTCCTTTCTATTTGCTGAATCCCTAATAAACTATGAGCTGATTACTATATGCATCTGAACCCAGTATATTTCACCCACTTTCATTTTTTTTAATGAATGCAAGTTTGTTGCCCCTTTTCATTTTTTTTAATGAATGCAAGTTTGTTGCCCCTTTTCTTGTGGTGGTATAAGGAGAATGGTCTATTTTTACAATAAAAATGTCTAGAAGAGGGATATAAATCCAAATAAATAAAATGAAAACTGGAAATTCAAAGGAACTGCTAGCATTGTGGCAATACAATGTATAGAGAAATGTCCTCCACCCTAGAGATCATATTGACATTTCAATAATTGGGTTTACGCTGTATCCATGTTACAGAATACAAATCTGTAGTTGGTAGAGGGGGGAAGTACAGGGAGTGATTTGTCCCTCCCAGCGCTTCAGTGGTTACTGTTGGAAGTGAAGGCCTTTTTGCACTGTCTCTTTGCCTCAGATCCCAGCGTCTTGTGAGCAAAAATCCTGCTTTGTGAGCTACTGGCATTACAGTTGTGAGTGAGCGATTTGGCTAGTGCATAAATTAGTTTGGTCTGGAGCCATCCTTCCTGAGCTAAGACAAAAATGTGTGAGCCAGAGGCTAAAAAACTGTGAGCTAGCTCACACTAACTCAGCTCAGAGGGAACACTGAAAGAGAAAGGGGTGTTGGCATTGGTCAGAAACAGCTGCAGGGGGAACAGGGCTTGCGAGTCCATTCTTTCACAGAACATTATAACGCTGTGGCAGCTGCAAAGAGCTGAAGCAAGGAGAGTGTCGGGAAAACTGCTGTGTAGACACTATGTTGCTGCTGCTAACGTGTCTGCATTTGCAGCTGCAGTGAAAGCTACACAAGAAACGATCACTTTGCGAAAGCAGCCTCCCTCTTCAGGCTGTTGCCTGATGGTTGATTTTGCTTAAGTGCAGAGCTGATTTGACTGTTTCATAGGCTGCTTCACCTGAATGTTTTGATCTGCCTTGGCTTCCTTACACCAGTGCAGTTTTGGGACTATCCACAGTACACAGTCCACAGTACACAGTCTGCTATCCATCCTGCTTTCCCCTGCTTTCCCCCTGCTCTTTCCCAATCTGGTTTGCCATGGTCTTTTTTGAAAGAGTGCAGTCAAAAGTGCCTTTAGATACAGTGTGGGTGGAAAAGTGCATATTTTTGTAGGATCCACACACATCAGCACCATTTTCTTATCCTGTGTCAGCCATTTCACCCCTGCAATGGCAGGGTTTTGTTTTTTAAAAATCGGTAATAGCTATATCACTATAGCATTATAATGATTTATTGCAATTTAGTTTAGAGTTTTCATTTCATGCATGGTTGTAAGTGGAAAGGTCTTGGCTCCACATTTCTCCTTATAACTATGCAACCAAAAGGTTTGGAGGTTTACCTTTTCAATGAAAGCTGAGAACTGTATATTAGTACAGTATAGTGTTATCACAATATAACCATTACCATTTTTTAACAGAAAAATATATTTAAAAAGTTCTCTGCTGGCTCAGCATGGCAGGCGGCATGGCAGCCACAGAAGGCTGAGGGAAGGAAAGCGTGGGGGAAACTTTCAAGTGGTTGCTCTTTTGTGACTGTGAATGCTGCAGTGAATGCAAAGGCAAGCCGAGCTATACAGAGAATTGTCTCTGTGTGTGTTTAAAAGTTGATATAGTGTCTACTTTGGATTTCTCTCACGGAGACCAAATTGCTAATATCCTTGTATAATCGATGTTATAAAAATGTAGAAGGAACAGAAACTTTGAAAGAGGTTCTAATCCTATTCATAATTATCTGTTGATTCAGTGTGGAGAGCAGTTAGTGGGATTGTGTCCTTGTGACCTCAGTATGTTGATCAGAAGTTGTGAATAGAGTTCAGGCAGGCAGAGAGAGGGGGAGAGAGAGAGAAGTTCTATGCAACTGGGCTTTTGGTTGGTTGAAACCACAAACCCTTGTGGAGCCTCTGGTGCAAATAGAATCACATTTTAGGTTTCGTGTTCCCTCCTGTATCATTTCCTCCGTCTCAAATGCCATCCCTTCCTGACAGTTGGTGGGGTGGAGGAACATTTGAGGTCAGGAAAAATAGCATAGGGGTTAAACCTGTCACAACTCCATGCCATGGTTCTGATCCAAACCACCCCTTTCCTGTAGGTATTGCTTACCAATTAAAAGTGCTTGTGAACCGCAGTTGTGCGTTCTATGGGGCAGAACTTGGAATGAATCTTGCAATAATTCAAAGAGAATAAAACTGCCATGACCCCAGCGGGTTGCCACCTTCTGCCGCCGCCACCTTGGACTTAGGTCTCCAGGGTACCTTCCCAAGCCCCTTCAAATTGCCCCTTTGTAGCCGAGAAACGTGTGATGACCAGGCAGAGAAACAATTAAACAAAAAGGGTTTATTATATCAGTAGAGGAAAAACAAGACAAGACAGGTGTTTTAAAATACATAACAGTGTTGAAAGGCCAAAAGAAACACAAAGCTAATACAGCTACCTATTAGTCCTTAACTGTTACTGCTCAAGTCCTACCGCTCTCTTATGCCAGGCTTCTGCCTGTACTCACTGTCCCCAGTGAGGGATCTTTCTCCCAGACCAGTCTCCTCAGCTTAGCTCTGTGAGAGGCAAAACCCACAGAGAGGTAAAGAACACAATTTAGCTGACCACCAACATAGATGTTAGTAACACAACAGAACAGTGATCTTTTAAAGTAGGAGTGTCGAACTCATTTGTTATGAGGGCCGGATCTGACATAAATGAGACCTTGTTGGGCCGGGCCATGTGTGTCATAAATTTTAATGCCAGATAGCAGAGATATAAACTTTATAAAGGACAGAAACACAATGAAAGATTTTTTTAAAACTTTAAATAAAACATGCTTAAAACAGCACTCTTGTGATAACTTGGCAATTTAACAGTCTCTGATAACTGACATCACTTGCTCTGAGTTATTGCAGCAGCAGAACTGGAAAAGGAAGCAGGAAACATCCAGGGCCTTGTGGGCTGGATTGCAGCCCTCTGTGGGCCTGATCCGGCCCCTGGGCTGCATGTTTGACACCCCTGTTTTAAAGTCCAAACAATTAACTTTTCCCTCCTTCAAAAGGGACCACTCAAATGGCTGCCAGCCATTTCACAGCCAGTTTTGCTCTCTCCCTGCTTCTAAAGAAGGCCAATTGGGAAAACACATTTGGTCAAGTTCACAGATGGTCTGTGTTTGAGATGTATGATTTATTCTGATTTGAGGCTACTATTTGGGCCTATATTTGTTTTTATCTAATTTCTAATAAATACATGTATTTTTGTATATTTAGTAATATTTATGTTTTAAGTTTAGATATAGAACTATTGGGCCCACAGATTCTGACTTCTTTAACCTTTTGGTTCTTAATTCAGTTATTTTTGGGTTAAGTCCCGTCCCCCCTTATGTATCTTTTTTTCTTATTTATTTTGTCACCTAAATTAGTAATCATTACATCATCAGCTGTGGAAAAGACCTGGAGCTCAACATATGTGCTTGGAGAGCTGAGAGAAGAGCTCCCTCTTCCTCCAACCCAAGTGCCATCACTAAGGCCATGGGTGGGTGAAAGTCAAGCATTCGTTTATCATGCTTGGATCCAGCACAATTGAGAATTTTCTCCACAAGAAGCATTTTGTATTGCATTTTAATCATTTGTGTTAGATTCTCATACTTGTGATCTCCTTTGGGAGCCAGCTTACAACTAAAAAATAGGGTTAAAAATAGGCATCCACCAATTGTTTTGTGAAGAACTGATGGCTCCCTGGGCATTCAAGTGAATTCCCATGAGTAAAGACTGTCAGCTAACTCTGTTAGCAAAGGGGTCATTCTAGGCAGCCACACTACTAACTCCAAACTGTACAAATATATGAAACTTTCTCCTACTGTATCAAGTCTTTGATCTGGACTGTCAACCCTGATAGGCAGTAGTTACAACAAGATACCCTTTGCTTCAGGCATCTTGAATGTACCTTGAGCCATAAATGCAAGGGTGGTGGCAGCAGTCAGTTTTGCCTTGTCTGGCAGAGTTCTTAAGAAGTTTCTGGGGGGGATCAGTTCTGGGTTTTTAGATTCTTGATACTATTTTAGGATTCGCACCATCTGCCTTTGTGTTCATTCCTATTTTCCTGAGTCCATATTCCTTGCCGTTCTCGCATCTGGAGTCATGGCAAGAGTTGGTGGCTTCAGGTCAGCAGCCAGCCCTCAGCTGTTGGGTTCACATTTAAAAGCATTTTTTAAATCATAGTATCTGAAGAAGTGAGCAGTGATTCACAAAAGCTCATACCCTGCCACATATTTTGTTAGTCTTGAAAGGTGCTACTGGACTCGTGCTCTTTTCTACTGAAATCATAGTAGCATTTTATTGTTATGTATTTTCTCAGTCAACAAATATTAGTAGTACAACTACTGTAATGGGCAGAATGATTTTTTTTTACTTAAAATGAGTGTGTTTGTTTTTCCTCCTCTTATGGAGGAGACTTGAGGAAACACAAATGCATGCATGTTTTATATTTATCTGTTCCAGGGAAAATCCCATCCATTTCTGGGTGCCTTTCCTGCACAGTGGAATCCTTTAGTATATCTGGATTTTAACAACTTTTGGAGAACCATGGATGAAATGGGGAAAGAGGTATGCTGGAGTCATGAACATAAGAACATATCTATTCTCTTACGAAGGAAGTGATGTAAGATGGGCAACCCATAAAATATTCACAAGTTTTTTAAAAGCTCATGTGATAAAATATTGAATCTTTGTTTATAAAACCATAAGAACCAGATAAGGAGCAGAAAGTAAAATATCTACTCATTAATAATTAGGATCTCGTACTGTAATATATATGGGACTATTAAGCTGATACCATCTGTCAGGTTTTAGTTCCACTGTGCCATGTGGATTTCTTGAAAATCATTCTTGGCCTATTTTTTCCTTAGTTGTAGTCAAATAGTACTATGTGGTAATGAAATATGAGTATTGAAATTTTTGCATACTCAGCTTTGCCATCCATCATTTGAAGAGGACTCTAATCTAAGTTCATTCTTTGTGTTCAGTAGTCATACACAGTAGGGGTAGACAAAATGTACTATGTGACATATTCTCAGAGAATTTCTTTATTTATCATTAACTTACCATTACAATCAGATGGTCAGTAGGAAGACACAAATTCCAAAGTGTTGTGATACAAATTAAGCAGTTAATTGGAAGGCATTACTTACAATAAATCACAAAAGCAAACTGCAAACTGAATCATATGCGTACTACAGGAATACATATGGAAAATCATGGATATAAAACTATCAGAAAGACATATATGACTGCAGAAAATAACACAAATGAATTAAGAAGTGGTGCTGAAGCATGAGCAAATAAACCAAAATTCTAAACCGATATATTAGGTGGTGGAGAGATGAGCCACAAACCACTATATCTTATAAATACACTTGAAACAAAAAGTTGCAAACATGACAATCTAAATGTTAAACCATTGGTCACCCTATACAACCCTTGTGTCCGTCTTGTTTTAGCTCAGTTTCCTAGCAAGCAAGCTGATGCAGTTTCAGTTACCTATCCAAGGATCCAGGAATGTTGAAGAGGCATGATGTTCACAGGCTTGTGAGCCTCTCCTCTCAACACTTAGTCTCTTGAGAAGTACAGGGAGAGAAGGCCAGGGTGAGGATAGGCTTTTGGAGACTTCAGGAAATCCTCAGAGCAGGCTGATCCTAACAGAAAGGCTACTTCCGACCTGAAAATAAAAGCTGCTCAAAAAGGGAAGCTGATCTCGAACGAACGTGCCTTCCTCTTGGACTTTTCTACATTTCCCTTGGGCAGGGGTGGTATCATGGTGGCACCTCACTCATCGGAGGTGAAGATGGAGATGTGGACTTAACTTTTCCCTCATTCATAGTTGACTTTGGCACTCAAGGGACTGAAAGAACCCCCATACACATAACACCCCAATATCTCAAAACAATAGGCTGGTCCAAGCTCTTCCTATCAGTCATGAAACTGGTCCTATTGTTTGCCAGAGTTTCAGGTGTTCGTCAGGTCAGGTGTGGGTTTGGAGGTCTTCATACTTGGTGATTAATCAGCAGTACATTCTGGAGCATCCAGTAATGAGTTTCAGACCATAATATCAAGCAGGATCAAACAGCATTGAGGTTGTCTGATTGGAGGGGTCTTCTGTTGTAGAAATCCATCTGGACAAGTTGTAGGCAAGTTGTCCCCCTAAATAAAATTTACTTTCAGTATTAATTGGTGCTTTTGCAGTATTTAGAGCTACTTGCATTTAAATGTTCCTCATGAAATGCACAGCAACCATCCAGTGCTATATCATTGCAGTTCCAGTAAAAGTCACAATTTCTGACAGCAAACTGCACAGAGTCAGGATCTGAAATCCATTTTGTTCAAAGATGAAGGCTATCACTGGGCCAATTCAGGGTCAAAAAACTACCAGATTAATAGTTTGCATTGCTATTTTTTTGTGTGTGCTTCCATGTGTGTGCATGCTAAATCACCACAATTCAGGTGTCAAAAAAGTGGAGAATAGAGAAAACACTGGAATGCAATGGGTTGGCAATCATCGACCACCTGGATATGCAGAAGTGAGTGAATGGCGACATATTTGTTCTTTTTCTTTAGATTCCTGCTTTTTTTTTTCTGCTGAAGCACCCTGGGATGCCCCACATGCTGAAGAATGGGACAAAATGTCAATGAAACAACTAATTGACAAAATTTGCTGGACAAAGTAAATTTACTTTGAAATTTTATCTTAATATATTTGTTTTCTTAGCCTGCTGCATGGTGCTTTAAAGCTCTCATGATGATTTATTTTCCTTCAAGAGGTAATAGCCAGTCATGCATACATTTTGAGCTGGAACTTGTGCTCATGAAGAGCCACTGGAAAAAAATGGTGGCTGTCCAAGAAAACTGGGAAGTAATTAAATAAGCAATAGAAAAAGCTAGAAGTTGTATTGGATGGGCTAGAGTAGGTGATAAAATGGTAAACCCCAACAATACTTTGCTGTAATAATGTGATTCTAAATTGAGAGTTTTTTAAAAAGTCTGAATTACATTGTCTTTCTTCCCAAAAACCTAAAAAACAAAGCAAAACCCAAAACCGTTACAATGACACCTTTATTTAATAAATATAAAATGGTAAAGTTTACCTTCATAATCTCTTAGCTTGAATCCGTCACAATATCTCAAGGACTTTGGCTTCTATCCTGTGCAATCCTTAAACAGAGCAGAGATTGTGGAGTGGGACTTCCCACCTCCTCTGACTACAGTTGACTGTGGTGCCCCTCCCCCATTGTTCTTAGGATGAGGGAGTGTCATGAACAACCCAGAGGAAAAAATTGGGATCTGCAGCGGGAGGGGTGAATCGGCAGAAATAACTCCTCTGCGGCTGAAAGGATCCTTCTGTTTTTAGAAACAGACTCTAGGAAGCAAGTCATTGCATGAAAGCTGCTTTTTTTGTATAAAATACCCATAGGCAGGGGTCATTTCCTGCAGCAGCGCACAGGAGCGGAGCTCCGGCAGTAAAGAGCCCAGGGGGCAGGCACATGCAACAAGCCCCACCCCCTGCTCCCAGCAGCCCTCAGTCAGAGCAAGAAGCAGCCAGGGAAGTTGCAGAGCCCCCCCCTCGCCCTCCTGATCCAAGACAGTCCAGTGGCACCTTTAAGACCAAGTTTTATTCAGGTACAAGCTCTCCCTCCTCTGCAAGGACAGATCTGCACGTCCCGTTCCCACCCCCCCCCCATAGCTAGCAATCCAAAACAGTCCAGTGGAGCCTGAGCCATGGGTGTTGCCTTCTGACACACTTCCAGTGATGGCAGGGGGTGTGGCATATGCAAATAAGTTATGCTAATGAGTTATGCTAATGAGCTCCTGCACCTCTTTTTCTACAAAATGACCCTGCCCATAGGGCAAATACAGGCATCTTTTGAGATCAGACATCTCCCTTATAAATAAAAGCCGAATGGTAGTGGCACTTCTATAGAACATTCCACACAGAGGTTATTTGCATATGCAGACTCATTGGCCTCTGCCTCAGAACACAGAGGTCGTTTGCATATGCAATTTGATTGGCTTTTGCCTCTAACATTCTAACCAGTTTTTCTCTTCTGAGGTAAAATGTGTCCAATCTCCAGGTGAGGGCTGGAGATCACTCAGAATTACAACTGCTTTCCAGGTGGCAGAGATCAGTTCCCCTGGAGAAAATGGTGGACTCAGTGTCATTATACCCTGTTGAGGTCGCCACAGCAAATTGACACTGAGTGTCCAAGGCCGGGGCACCCGCCCAGAGCCTCTTTCTAGAGGCCGTTGTATTTATTTCCACAACGGGCCTTTTTCCTAGTTATCAGTATGACGCAAAAGGTCATGTATGGTGGTGGTGTGCAAATATTTGGACTGTCAGTCAAACAAGGAGTACATTTACTTCCCATTTCATGCTGAAACACGTTTCTGCCGATGCAACTACCAGCCCTTATTTCTGGCTAGTTCTGGATGTATAGTCTTTTAGGTAAACTTGCATGTGTGTAGAGATCCAAATAGAAATCTTTGATTTCTTGTTTGCTTCTCCATCAGATGCAAACTCTGTAGTGCAAAAAGATGCGTGGGCAGCATAACTAGAGAGTAAAAGAATCTATTTAATTGCAAACCAGTATCTTGGAGTCGGAGTAGACTGTACTGGATCAATGAACCATTGAGCTGACTTGGTATGAAATAGCTAATTCAGTCTTTAAACATGTTACATTTCATTTGTATGCTGTTGAACAGGGATGGGCACAACTTATAAAAGGGAGTTTGGGGTAACCCATGAACTAAACAGGCCCACACAAACCATACCAGTCTGGCAAGTTTGGTTCTGTCTTTCTCCCGGCCACGGTGAGCCACAGCCAGGAGAAAGGGGGGGATCACCCGGGAAAGGACTTCCTTTTCCCCTTTTTCCTGGGAAGCGAGCCCAGGAAGGGGCTTCATTTAACCCTTCAGTTTTGCTCCTCCCTTTCAAAGTGGTAGGGAGTAAAAGTGAAGGGTAAAATGGCTGGCAGCTGCGCCACTCAGCTGTTAGGTTTAAATGGCTGGCCCTGAATAGCCAAACCAGACTGGCCAAAAATCCGCTAAATGTTCAGGGAATGCACCCTGAACATGGTTTGTGCCTATCTCTACTGTTGAATCCCCAATAAATCCCTTGTCAAAGGCAAAATAACCAAATCCAAAATCTCTGTTCAACAGAATAATAAAATACTTGGAAACAAAAGGCAAAAACAGATCTCCAACACCATTTAGCCGAACTGAGAGTGAAGGTAGTAAGCATGTGACATTTTAAGGGTTCACAGAAACCGCTGCATTCTTTCATCATGGTAAAGGTTGCTGTTCTTCCTGAGGTTAATATGATATGACTCCTTTGCAAAGGGAATGCTCTGGCCAGAGGTCAGTGTGCATTCTAGTATGTGTGTATTTGACTTCAGGGGATGAGTTGGCACAGGACACATAAAAGGGTTGAATACTATATGCCAACAGAAAAGGGTTGTACAGTGTGAAAATCAAAGCTAGAAGGTCGAGGCACACAAGTTTAATGGACATCAGTATGGTTTACATTGTTGTAGTTCCCACTTTTATTCTGAAGTAGTCTTATTAATGTCAGTCTTGCTTTCAGATGAGGCCTCTCTCGCATGTTATAGGAAATTGTGAAAAAGGAGCACAAGTGATCAAGACTGCAATCCAATACATATTTACAAAGGAGTTGATTCTTTGGAACATAGTGGGACATCTGAAGAAATAGGCACAGGGTGGAGTTATCAAGGTCATTTTAATGGAGATTTGTGCCTAATTTTCTCTTGATTGATTGATTCTAAAACTACTCTATTTGTGGTATTACCTTGCCCAGGCTTGTAATCATGGCAGGAAAACAAAGGAGGGTACTCTTTGATACTCAGAAACTTTCTTCACATTGTGGTAGATATTTCACTAAGATCCCTCTGTTTCTCTATGGTTTCAGTATTATTTTTTTAACTTAAGAGACAGGATCAAGCAAAATGTTGGCAAACATGTGAGGGAAGTTTGTGATCCTTTAAAGAAAGTATTTTTCATGAGGCACTGAAAAGCATTTTAACTACAGAAATAATTATTTACATTATTTATAATGAGGCTGTTTTTCAAAAGGAGGGAACAAACTACTACTAAATACATAAACTTCTGGCAAATAAGATACTATATCCATTTGATCAATTAAGGTCAGAGTATATTGAATTTAAAGGTAAAGGTTCCCTTGCTCGAAAGCCATAGAGGCCAAGGCCTTCCCTTGATGTTACCTCCTGGCTCTGGGATTCAGAGGTTTAGTGGCTTGGGATGTGGAGGTTCCCCTCAGTCACCTTGGCTAGTAGCCATTGATAGACTTATCTTCCATGAATCTATCTAATCCTCTTTTAAAGCTGTTTATTCCTGTGGCCATCACTACATCCTCTGGCAGGGAATTTCACATTTTAATCACTGTAGGTCACTGGTACTGAAAATTAGTAGACCACAAGGCAAATGTCAGTTTTCTCATTGCACATTCAAATTAGCCTTGTTAATTAAAAGAAAATATTCTTTATGCTCTTCTGATTTTTTTTCTCTCCTAAGTAAATAAATGAAAATATTCTAAAGCACAGCATAGTGAATCAGTATCACCCAAACTGTGTTGTCTGCCTTTGGATTGCAGAGCTACCAGAGACTTTGCTCTTCTCTTTGTGAACATCAATGTCACTTCTGAATCACATGAGGTCTCTGCTCTCTGGTTCCTGTGGTATGTCAAGCAGTGTGGAGGAACAACCAGGATCTTCTCTGTAAGCAACGGTGGACAGGTACATGAAGTTAATACATACTTCCTTCCGTTATAGAGGTCATAAGGAATGAGTGCGTCATTTTACTTCTGTAATTCATGGAGAATTTAAATCACAGTGAAGCAACACTGTGTAAAAAGCCAATGCAATTTTGCAATACAAATAGAAGATTGTGTGTTTTGTATCCCCTTGTTAAGCCCTTTTTGAAGTGAGAGTGATTTTACTCTTCTCCTTGCACCATATTGTCTTCAGCAGTTCTTGCTGTGCTGCAATAATGGCCCGATTTGGTTTCCATGGTTACTTGGGAGTAATTCTGTTTTTAATAGTACTTCAAATGTATGCACCACCAGCACCTCATGCTAAATATGCATGTAAGTGAAGTGCTATTTACTGAGTGACAGAATCATAAGGATCTTTGGGGATAATTAAAAATGATATTTCAGAGAATATGATAGCTATTAAAAGAAACCATTAGAGAGCACTACAGAAACCATTAAAAGATATTCACACTTCACATCTTGGAAATGCTATGCTTCTGCTTTTCTCTTTGCTTGAATCAGTTGTGACTTCTCATTGCAAAAGATTGTCACATCATAAGATTTAAGAAGACTGTTTCCAAACCATTTTATGGTTCAAAAGTGTCCATTCTGATATTAATGTTTCTACAGTTGCCAGCAAATTAGGCCTTTCAAAGAAAAGATGTCATCAGAAAGCACAGTGCAGTGACTGGAATGTGTAAGTAGTAGGGCATTCCGGGCCTCAGTGTTCAGCCATTGATTCCAGTTTTAATCCATTGCAGAGGGAATCAGCTATTCTGGCCCTAAGAGTCCTGGAGTGTTTATTTATTTCATATGCTGCCTCTCCACTCAGTTGTTCTAATCAGCTTGCAACAGTACTTATGTTCCAGTTAATAATAATAAAATAATAATACTTTCCATTTATTAATCGCTTTCCCCAGTGGGCTCAAAGCGATGTACAGTTACTCAAATATAGACAAGGGACTAACAATGTTTGTAGGGGATAGAGAAGCTTGCAGTGGTCTCTTTAATGCCACAAGTGGATGTTTTTACCCTTGTCATATTTTGTTCCTGAAAGAGATGCAGGCATTTCAGTGTAAGTTAACTATTGTACAGTTTTATACACATGGATCACCCTTCCAGTTAAGCTGCATGCAGTGATGAAGAGTAAGGAGGACCTCTCTGCCAATACTTGAAATTATGTTCATTATGCTCCTTTTGAGAAAGGATTTGGGTATGCTTACACCACTAAATTGATGGTCTGTGCTAGCAGATCTTTGACCCTGCTAATTATGTTAGTTTGGTGGATCATTTCAGTTCCATCTCTACTCCTTACAGGTAATTAGTGCTATCAAAGCTGATATCACCATACATCTGCTGGGCAGTGAAATATTTGCACAGTACCTTCGTTGCAGCTTACTTTGATGATGTTAGGATTCTGCCAGCTGATTGAGCTTGAGCAGACATCTTCAAACTTTTCACTGAAGCTCCTAAAAGGCAAGAGCATTCAGGGTTTTATGAAGTTCATACAGAACAGCTCTTTGAGCTGAGCTGGTTTTTTGTTGTGTGGGTGGCTGAAGTTTGCTTTGCTTCATAGTCCAGATTTTCAAGAGATCTTCGGTTTCAAGATTTTGGCCTCCTTGTAGATTGTTTTTGCTTGAAAAACTTTATCTGAATTTCCTTCATAACATACCTAATTTTGGGTCTTGTGGGGTAATCATTTATTGCTGGTGACTGATTCCATTGTTGCTGTTGTTCTCAGGAGAGGAAATTTGTTGGGGGTTCTGGACAAATTACAGAAAGAATAATGGAACAACTCAAAGGGAAAGTTAAGCTGGAGAGACCTGTAGTCCGCATCGATCAGTCAGGTGATAATGTCATTGTGGAGACATTAAACCATGAGACATATGAGGTAATCTAATAAGACTAAAAAATAGTATGTGTTTAATAGGGGCATGTCTGCTACAGCTTTTAGCCGAATATAATCAGTCCCACTTTTAGTATTGCTGTGCTGTTCACACTGCTCAGGAACCCTTTGAAATCTATTTTATTGATGTATTTATGAAAGCTTCCCCTCACAGGATACTGTAATCAGCTTCTGATATTTCCTGCCTGCTCTGTGCCTTAGTGCCTTTTACAGTTGCATCACTGGACCTCTGTGGTGTTTACTGCTTTCATCTTGAAGAGATGTAGATAGGGTTGCCAAGTCAGAAACTTACCACAGCAGGGGACTCCTGGCCGGCGTCTGGAGTGCGTGCGTGCGAAGTGCTCGCACGCTGCATCCACATCACCCAGAAGTGACGCAGGTATGCCGGGCACGCTGGGAGCGGGGCCAGGACCATCCGAGGGAAAACCATAGAGTTTTCCCTCGGATGACCGTGGCCCCGCCCCCAGCGTGCCCTTCGTACCCGCGTCACTTCCGGGTGACGTGCACGTGAGGGTGGAGTTCCCCCCGGGGCCTGATCCGGCGGCGGCGGGGAATGGGCCTCTGGGGCGGGGGTTTCCCCACCCCCTGGGGGGACTTGGCAAGCCTAGATGTAGATGCTATAATAACTGATGTGCTGAATGAATATGTGAAGGAAATTTATACCATGGTACACAAATATGTCTGAAAAGCTGAGGCAACAATAAATAGATAATAGGAGAGCCATAATTGGATACCCTGTAGTTTTTCAAAAATGCCTTTATCATCCTTGATGGGTTCCAAACTAGATCAGTTTCAAAAACCTTTAGTCTTTCCACTGTGGGGCATTACCCAGTCCAGAAGAGCCGTTTTCAATTCAAAAAAATTCTAGTGGAGCAGGGCTAATTTATCTCCCCTAGAATGGGGGGAGGGGTAGCTGACCACAGATCTCCTGCCATCTCATCTAGCTGCATGCTAACTTGGTTATTTTTCTTACTACTGTTACACTTTACAGGCCAGTTACGTGATAAGTGCTATACCACCAATCTTAACCCTAAAAATTCATTACAAGCCAGAACTGCCAGCAAAAAGAAATGAGTTAATCCAACGGCTTCCAATGGGCTCTGTTATTAAGTGTATGATGTACTACAAAGAAGCTTTTTGGAAGAACATGGGTATGTGTGGATCAGCTACAGAACAATTAAAAGTGTGTGGCATCTGATGGTTAAACCACATGTTACGTGGATTTCCATGAAAATTTCTTCTGACTTTTTGAAAATGAAAAACATGAACTAGAGACTGCAAACAAGAGTGAAGGGTGGATGGATGTTTAAAACATTCACTGGTTAATGAAGTTTCACAAAATTATCCCCCATTTCAAGTCTACCCCACAGATGATGAATAGAGATCTCTGCTCTTGATTGCAACTTTTGGTGGATTCAGTTTGTAAAAGAAAAGAAGTCACAGGAATAGTTGCATAGAATTCATTGTAATAAGCTTGGCCCCTGTACCATGCTAATTTGAAGTTGTGAACTCATAAAGCCTTTTTGAATCACTGGAGTATATAATAAAACTTATTCAAGTTTACAAAACATCTTTAGTAATTATCCTGTTACATATTTGCAGTGTTTCTCTGAGATAGAAAAGGTTTGTTACTTCTAATGATTTTATAACTAAAGAGTGGAGGATGAGATTTCATGTTGCCCATCTGGCATGCCTTGTGATCCGCCATGCTTAGTCAGCTTCCTAGTCTTGGACTGCAAAAAGAGAGGTGGGATTGGGAAATTATCTGAAAAGCTACAGTAGGTGGTCAGTGGGGTGTGTTTGGCTTAATAGGTCCCAAATTGTGCAGGCCTAATCTGAGTTGTATGTCTGTATCTTCCTGTGAACATATTCAGTCCCCAGTGATTGTGCATATTTTCTGTTCAGACACTAACTGCAGCATACATATGCAGTATGCTATCTTAGTAGTTTCAATGATTAGCACTCACTGTATGTGAAATAGATGTTATTATGTGTCAGTTCAGAAATAAGCAAAAATGTTCACCTGGAAGGAGCTGCGAATTAAAAAATGTGTTCTTTAAAATTTAAATAAATGTCCTGACAGGATGTATGTTGCATGGAATTTCTAACTATTGAACAGCTGATGGTTATGTAAGAAAAGTGTTTATGTTAGAGTTGCCAGATCCCCCAGTCTCATGGGGTTTCCTGATTTGGGGGGCTCTTTCCTGCCGTCAGCCAGCTGGCCATTGGGGGGAAGCCCCACCCCCAAGAGCAACACCCGGCAACCCCTACTACAAGATTTAAAGGGTCCTCCAGTTGGCCCTTTAAATCTTGCAGGAGGGAGTAAGAGGGGCGGCTGCACTCGCCTCCCCCCCACCTCTTCCCAATAGTGTTTAAAAAGACTCTTTAAATGCTATTGGGAAGAGACAGGGGGCCACGCACCTAGACTCCAAGCCGCAAATTCAGGGCTTGGGGGACAGGCATGCACAGCCTCCACCCTCTTCCCAATAGCATTTAAAAAGACTCTTTAAACACTATTAGGAAGAGGTGGGGGCTGCGCACCTGGCCTCTCAGCCCCAAATTCGGGGCTTGAAGGGCAGGCGCACGTGCCCCCCCCCTCTTGCCAAAAGCATTTAAAGGGACACTTTAAATTCTTCTGGCAAGAAGCGGGGGCCAACTTTCCCTGACATGATGACCTCACTTCTGTGTGATGTCATCCTGTTGCAGACGTCCCCATCTCCTCCAGTAACACCCCCCAAAATCCCCTCTTGGAGATTTGGATGGATTTGGCATCCTTAGTTTATGTCAGGGGCAGGAAGTCCCTAGCATATGAGCCAACAGTGGCACACCAGACCATTTTGTTTGGCACCCAAGCCCAAATCTCCACCCAAGCAACTGAGGCACAGGCAGCACTGCTAGGGCCATCAGTCCAGGAGAAGTTATGCTTAGTTCCTGTTATCACCTCCCAGACCTGCACAGCCACCAGCCAAGTCCAAGGTGAATCCCTAAGACGCTGGCAGTACTATTGGGACTTGGCTTGTTCCAGATGTGTCTGACCAAATACCACCCTCATCTCTCCCCCCCCCCCTGCCTGCTGACACACTACATCTTTGCAGGTAGATGTTGCTTTTTTGCTTCCCCCACCCCCAGCATGTTAGCTGTCGGGTTGTCTACAATTGTAGTCTACAAAAAGGATGTCTACAATTGTAGTGATTATATGATGTCTCCAGAATAATATTCTGAATTGAGGGTTTTTTGGTGACTAACCTAGCTTTCTTTTTTCCTGTCAGATTTCTGTGGCTGCATGATGATTGAGGATGAAGAGGCTCCAATTTCAATAACTTTGGATGACTGTAAACCTGATGGATCGGTACCTGCCATTATGGGGTAATTAAGTGTATCATTTCTGTATTTAGCATCAAATATATTCACATAAAATTTATCAAACTTAGTGTGTGAGAAGCCTTGGAATTTGACCTAGGTAACAGAGAACTCCATAGAGAAGCCATACTCATGATATACTGTTAGTTCTCTCATGTACAACCTCGGTTCCCTCCTGTCTGTTTCTCTGTGTATCCAACTAGGGTAGTTTAATATCCATACTCCCAGGACAGCTTACCTATAAAATACTGTCTTGATATTATCTTCGTTTACTAACATGGTGATTAAATACTGATCAAATTAATCTTCTATTCACATATGGCTGTGGTGGTCCAGCATGGAGGTTTCTGGAAATGATTTCCATGATATGTGGAAGAAAATATGGAGCAATATAGAGGCACAGATCCTATCCCTGTCCTTCCATTCTACTGAGCAGCATTTGAAGCCTTCCTACAACCTAAGAACATAAGAGATGCCAATGTGGGATCAGGCCAAAGGCCCATCCAGTCCAACACTCTGTGTCACACAGTGGCCAGAAATACCAGTGCCATCAGGAGGTCCAGGAGTGGGGCCAGGACATTAGAAGCCCCCCCACTGTTGACCCCCCCCCCCCAAGCACCAAGAAGACAGAGCATCACTTGCTCCAGAGCCCCTATCTATACCTTGTGGCTAATAGCCACTGATGGACCTCTGCTCCATATGCTTATCTAATTCCCTTTTGAAGCCGTCCATGCTTGTAGCACCCACCACTTCCTGTGGCAGTGAATTCCATGTGTTAATCACTCTTTGGGTGAAGAAGTACTTCCTTTTATCCGTTCTAACCTGACCGCTCTGCAGTTTCATGGAGTGCCCACGAGTTCTTGTATTGTGAGAAAGGGAGAAAAGTACCTCTTTCTCTACCTGCTCTTTCCCATGCATAATCTTATAAACCTCGATCATGTCACCCCTCAGTCGTCTTTTCTCCAAGCTAAAGAGCCCTAAGCGCTTTAACCTTTCCTCATAGGGAAAGTGTTCCAACCCTTTTATCATTCGAGTTGCCCTTTTCTGCACTTTTTCCAAAGCTATAATATCCTAAGGAGTCTTCTTCCAGCTTCAGAGACTGGATAAACACTTCTTGGAGAATAGCTGCCTGGATCTACCCCACTGTCTTGTAGGGATTAGGGTTGCCAGGTCCTACCTGGCTGCCAGCAGGGGGCCTCCCATTTCCTCCTTGAAGATCTTCTGGTGTGCGTGCTTTGCACGCATGCTGCAGTGACTTCACCAGAAGTGACATAATCGCATTTCCAATGTTGGGGGCAACGCTCTAGGTTTCGGGCAAAACTCTATGGCAGTTTTGGCCTCAAAACCATAGAGTTTTGCTCTTAATCTAGAGCATCACCCCTGATGTCAGAAACATTATGACATCACTCCTGGCTGATGTCATCGTGCCGGTGGCGCCAGGAAGGGGCTTCTTGGGGGTGGGGCTTCCCCTGCCATCCAGCTGGGCTGCAGTGGATTGGGTGGCCCAAAGTCAGGTGAGAGTCTTCCAACACTTCTCTGTGTCCTAGCCTTGATGTGCTAGGATACAGGAAAGTTTCAGGGGAGAATCAGAAGCCACTCTCAGCTGATGAGAGACTAGCTGGGAGTCCACTTTTGATTCCAACAGCCCGGCATGGAGTGGAAGGAGAGAAAAAGATCGGCTGTGGTCTCCTTCCACTCTAAGGTGTTGGGGAAGAGCCATCAGCACCTTAAATGCTGGCTGATCATCTCCCCACTCCTTGCACTGGAGGGAGACAGAAGCTATCCATATCCCCACCCCCCAGCTTGCCTGCAGACAGTGTAATGGCTTTCGTTTCCATCAGCTCTAAACTATGTGGGGTGAAGGTGGGGATTGCAAGCAGGAAGCTAAATTACCAAAAGTTTCTGTTCCCTCCTGAGCTTGGCAGGGTAAAGAAGCAAATAGCTTGCAGTCTCACCCCAAGTTGATCACTAATGTTCTCTCCACCCTAAGATCTCCTGTGACCTCGCAGAGTAGAGAGTCTCGGAGAAGCTGAAGGTAAAGACTGATCAACTAGACATCAGCTCCCCGCCCCCCGCCGCCCCTTCTGAGTCCCTGCAGTACTGGGACAGAATGAAACATTTCTTGTTCATGCTGTAGAATGTTCGTGGTGATGTTTTGAAGAGAGAGCTGGATAAAGTGCAAAGGCTTTTAAGGCGACCATTATCTCTTAACAGAGACCTTAAATTTTTCATCTTATATGAAATAGATGAGCACAAAGAAGTCTATACAAAATGTTTCCATTTTAAATTGGAACCATAGGAGCTAGAAGGGCCAGCACATGGAAATGATCTCACTTATGGTTAAAATATGGGCAACCATGTTTTAAAATTTCTGGTTTTCTTGGAAAACTTGCCAGGTTGCTTGTAGATACATTGTTAAGCTCCTTGCCAGGAGAAAGGGAGAGTGGGTGGTAGGCTTCCTATTCCCTGCATGCTTCGTTCCAATTCTGATAATCAGCAATATTTGGTAGGCAGGTGAGATGCATAAATTGCATCCATGCTGCTTTCCGTTTTCATCTGCTCTGCCTAACTAGTCATCATGGCTGCCCGCAATTCTGCCAATTACCTTACTTATCTAATGGTGGAGGAGGTTTTATGACTATACCATGTACATATAGGTTCCTTCAGTGCTTGTATTCTTCTGCATGATACAATGCTGTATAAAAATTGTGTGGCCTATTTTTATAGTACCTAACTGGAAATGTTTTATTTATATATGTTTTGCAAATCAATATATTCACTAATGCAATACTGACCAGTATTTTTCCCCACTTAGCTTTATCCTTACAAGAAAAGCCTTTAGACTAGCAAATCTTAGTGTCGAGGAGAGGTAAGAGTAATCGTTATCTATAATAAGCTTCTAAATATATATTTTATTTAAAAGTGTGTTTTACATCTCTAATAATGTATATTTTAGTAGACTGTCTTAGATTTTAAGATAATCAGATTTTTGTAGTGGTATCATCAAACCTTGACAGACTACTGTTATTAGCCACTACAATTAATTCCTTTTATTACAGAATTCTTTTTTTACATTATTTGTTATTTGTTACATTTGTATCCCACCCTTCTGCAAAGATTCATAAGTTTTAGTCTCAAGACAATCATGAGCTTAGGTTTAAAGGAAGTGGTTTACTCAGGGTCAATTATGCACCTGAATCTGATTTCCCATACCCAGTCCCAAAACTGCATTCAGTCATTGCATCACTCTGACCTTCCATAACTAGCAACACTTCATTGGTATCATCTTTTCTTGAGTAGCACCGGAGCCTTGAAGGACTACCTCCTACCATGTTGTCCAGCCCACCAGAAGATCTGACTCAAAAGCCCTGCTCTCTGTGCCCGCACCTTCAGAGGTGAGGCAGGTGGCAACCAGAAACGGGACTTTTTCAATAGTGGCACCTCACTTATTGAATGCCTTTCAAGGCTCACCTGCTGCTGACATTGCTTTCTTTTAGGTGCCAGACCAAAATGTTTCTGCTCACTCAGCCTTTTAATTAAGGGGCCCCGGTCACACAGGCCGGATATCGCGGGGGGGAGGCGTGGCTGTTTGCCCCGGAGCAAACTACCGCGCGGCAGCCGGATCAAACGTCCCGCCCGACGTCCCGCCAACGTCCCGTGGTTGGGGGGAGGTGCCGATCATACCTCACTCCTGCAGCATGGCAAAGAAGCGGCGCCGCGGGGGTTGTGTTGTTGTTTTTTAACCCAAGTGTTTGCATGCGCCGTTGGGTGCTTGTGCGCACCCATGGAGACTTGACCAAAAAAACCTTTTCGCGATGGGACATGGGCGGGCGCCGGATGCCATGAGCTAACACCAGAAACATGATCTGACGCCCGCCCTTGCCCCGCGGTTTCCAGAAACTAGTACCTCGGAGGTACTAGTTTTTTACAGTGCATCTTCGGAGTGAAGCCTTGGGTGAGCCACGGGAGCTCTACGCTTCCCAGATGTGGCGGTGAGATCGTGCCCGGAAAATCCGCCTATCTTCCGTCTCTCTAGCGTGCCTAGTGCTCCGTGTGACCAGGGCCAGGGTTTATTTTCCAATACTATTTGAGTCTAGAAAGTGTTATTTTAAGCTATCAGTGGTCTGGTTTTATGGTCTATTTTTTATGCTGGGCTGGGTTTTTCAGTGCTGGATTTCAATTAATTACCTTCTAAGGTTTTGTTTTTGTTATTTTTTATTTTGTAATAAATAAAGCCCTTGTTGCAGACAGATTAGGTTTCACCTCGCCCTAAGAGCAAGAGTCCAGTAGCACCTTAAAGAGTAACAAAATTTGTGGCAGGATAGGAGCTATCATGAGTCTGAAAGTTCATGAGTCAAGAAAGTTTCTTGAGTCAAGAAAGTTCATACCCTGCCACAAATTTTGTTAGTCTTCAAAGTGCTCGTGAGCTCTTGCTCTTTTCTACTGCTACAGACAAACACGGCTACCCATCTTGATCTCTCTAGCCCTGAGAGTGACCAAAGAGAGCTGACGGAATGTGAGAGGGACAGTTGAAAACAGATGTTAGTTTGGTTGAGAGGGAGACAGACTGGCTGAGGGGAGCCTGTGGCAGAAGAACAGCTCAACAAGAGTCAACTTGTAACAAAGAAACCCAAATGCCTAAACAGGGAAATAGTTCAAAAGTTCAACTGAAAATAAACTTTTTTTATCTGATTCACAGCCTCTATCTGATTCACTCCAATTGTATGTTCACACCATAAATAAAAGTTAACTCCTTGTTTGTTTAACCCTTTGGGCTGGATGTTTATGATCTTAGGGGGGGAAATGCATACACATGTGTTTACACACACACATACAGAAGCTAAGATCTCAGCTTATATATATAAATATATATTAGGATATGAATAAATGGTGGCAGTGTTTGAGTCCCTAGCTCCAATAGCTCTGTGCAGTGTCTCAGTGAGGGGTGATTCTTAAAAGAGAGTGAGCTACCCTGTTTAGTGATGTCTCTGTGAGTGAGACCTGGGATGTGAAAGGCTCGTATATTTTCTGTTCTCTATATATTTCAAAAGAGGCAAGATGGGGGTGGTGTTCCATGACTGCCTGAACTACCTGTAACCCTGAACCTGTGAGACAGAAGGTATGAAGGGTGGTAGGGACTGACTGAGTGAACATGAGCATCACAGCCCTACTTTTCTTTTCCTGTGTAATTGGTCTGTAGTACAGATTTAAAGCCCATATCCCAAAAATACATCCCTCTTGACCTCTTTTTCTCACAGTTGATGCATTTATGAAATGAGGGTTATATGAAACAAAAACAATCTGACATAAAATATGTTATGCTCATCAAGGATTTGCCCACCTCTAGGCTAAATATTCCATTTACTAGACTTCCTGCTAGTTATAAAACAAAACTTAGCTGATCTGATAACGCAATAGAATATCCTATTTCTTATGCTTCAGGCATGTCAAAGGGAGAGAGGTTGTCATAAACTGGTTTGGTGGAGAGGGTAGCAATATTCATTTCCATATAATATGGGATACAATGGACCTGAGGAAGTGACACTAAGAAGCATTGATCCAGATGGTCAGCCATGTTAGTCTGAAGCAGTTGAACAAATTTAGAGTCCAGCGGCACCTTTAAAACCAACAAAGGTTTATTCAAGGTATGAGCTTTCGTGTGCAGGGCACACCTTGCGCACGAAAGCTCATACCTTGAATAAACCTTTGTTGGTCTTAAAGGTGCCGCTAGACTCTAAATTTGTTGTACTAAGAAGTATTGTAAGCAAGGCAGTGAAGACATTCCCATTGGGTCCCTTTTTTCCTTCCATAAACAAGGTCCATTTTCTCTAGTTCCAGCATATTCTGAAAGAGAGGGAAAAGGCTATTACTTTTATTTTAGGAACTTCTGCAACTTTTATTTAAGGAACTTCTGCAAAGGTAATCTTGACAAGTTGCATTCAGGAATCACAACTTGACTTATAACAGTTACCATGCTTGCATCCTCTCTTCTCTTCTCATATACAGAGCATGATAGAAGGCTTCCTAGTTTTAGAAACTTTGAATTGAACCCCTAATTTGCCATAATATTTGAACCAGGTTTTTAAGAGGGGGAGGAAGAAGGTCTGTGAGAATGGTACTAAGCACAAACAGTTGTTTATATTGATATCTGAATGCAGCCTTTGAGCATTTGATCTTTCACATTTTTGACAACCTTTTCCTTGTCCATGTAGAAAGAGAAAAATCTGTGAACTATATGCAAAAGTGTTGGGAGCAGAAGAAGCTTTACATGTAAGAAAGAGCTTCTAAAATTGGTGGGATATAAACAAGCTTTATGTGTATGTGGGTAGTGTGCCTAGACCAAAATTGATGACAACATACAGTTGGAAGGAAATATTTAGATTTAAATATTCAAATGCTTGTTGTGCTTGCTCAGGTTCACAGAAGGAAGTTATGGAGCTGGAGGGAAAGTTTGTAATAGCAACTGTGAAGGCAGGAAATTTGCTCCAGAGCAGACACTGTGCTATCATGATGAGACAGAGTATTTTCTTAGTGCAAAGAAAGACAGGAGTTTTTCAGTTACTGCAAAATTCCAAGTGTGTATCCCCAAGGTAGCAATTCCATTTCAGAGAGATCTCATTTTTTTCAACATTCATAGAGCAATATTTTGGGAGGTCCGTCCCTGATTCCTTTGCTATCTCCCAGACACACTTGACTATAACAACCTCCACAAGGTACCTAAATATAAGGCATATTGGCCACGGTAATTTGAAAATTATGTATAAGGATAAGAATAGTCATAATCTTATCAACTATTAAACATGGGTCAAAATGATTTTTTATCATAGAATCCGAATGTTGGAAGGGACCTTTCAGGTCAACCCCCTGCACTCTGCAGGAGCATAGCCGAAAGATAACCCTACAACATTCCTGAAAGATGGTTGTCCAGCCTCTGCTTGAAAATGTCCAGCAAAGGAGCACCCACCACCTCCCAAGGCAGTCTGTTCCACTGCTCAACCACTCTTACAGTTAGGAAGTTTCTCCTGATATTTAGAAGAAACTACTTCCTTGTAATTTCCACCCATTAGATCTAGTCTTGCAATCCGGAGCAAGAGAGAATAGATCCACTCCATCTTCTACATGACAGCCCTTCAAATATTTGAAGACTGCAATCATGTCCCCTCTAAGCCTTCTCTTTCCCAGGCTAAACATACCCAACTCTTTCAGTCTTTCCTCATAAGACTTGGATTCCAACATTCTCACCATCCTGGTTGCCCTCTTCTGGACACGCTCAAGCTTGTCAACATCCTTCCTAAAATGTGGTGCCCAAAACTGGACACAGTACGGTGGCCGCTGGCTGCACACCTGAACTCCAAGCAACGGGGTCAGTCCCCACTGGCTGAAAGTGCTTAAAGGGACCCTTTAAAGGGACCCTTTAAGCACTTCCAGCCACCGGGGCCCCATGCCCCACCTCCAAGCAGCAATGCCGCTTGGAGAACGGGCATGCGGGGCTAGTCCGTGCCAGCTGGAAGTGCCTAAAGGGCACTTGGAGACTGGGTGTGTGGGGCCTGTCCCCACCGGCTGGAAGCACTTAAAGGGCCCCATGTGCCTGCAGCTGCCCTTCTGCCTCCCCTCTGCAAAATGTAAAGGAGCCTCCAGCTATCAGCTGGGTTGAAGCCCCAAAAAGTGGGTAAGCCCCCGCCCTGCCCGGGGTCTGGCAGCCCTAGGTGAACTTGAGGCTGGTTAGACATCCCTAGGGCCAGGGACTACCAGGAGATGCTGGTTTGTAGAATGCAATGTTCTATGATGCTCATATGGGGAAAGGCAGTCTCGAAGATATGCAGGCCCCTGGCCACATAGGGCTTTAAAGGTAAGCACCAACACTTTGAAAAGGATCTGGTAATCGAAAGGCAGCCAGTGCAGATCATGCAGCACTGGGCGGAGGTGTGCCCGCACAGGTAACATCAACATCCACACCACAGCGTTCTGCACTAACTACAACTTCCAGAGCAGAGTCAAGCGCAGCCCTACATAGAGAAAATTACAATAATCCAGTCTGGAGGTATTTATGTCAAATTGACAGGCCTGTAATTTCCTGGGTCCGTCTTTTTTTCCCTTCTTGAAAGTCTTGTAATTCTCTCTGTCACATCTTGGATACATGCTCCAGGAAGAAAAGAAACCTCTCAAGATTCCTTGTCTGGTCTGTACACAACCTTTTCCATCCCTCTCAGTAGGGAGTCACCAACCACCACTACTCGTCTCTTCCTCTGTGGGATAGCTTGGTTCCTTCTCTGCCTGTGTGTTTGTGTGTCAGTCACATCCTTTTGATCTCAGAGTGTGCTATTCTGATCTTCCACCATCAGAAGCAGCTGGTAGTGATTTTGCAGCTCCACTAGCTGTGAGTGTTTCCTGATTATCTTACTCCTCAAAGTCACATTCTTCCACTCTCCCACCTGTTCCTTGTTACTTCCTTCCTCTTGCTTAGGATTTGCTAGCTCTTGCTGTTCTCTCAGGAGCCCCTCTTCCGTCATGTCTAAAAACCTTTCTGCCTCCCTGATGTTCCTCAGTGTACAGGTTTGTGCCTCGAGTTCTCCCTCCTTCTCCTCAAGCATTCTTATAAACTTGCACTTGCAGAATGTATAATGCATTTTCTGACACGGCAGAAAAATTATTATGACACAACCCTGGCAGGTCACTGGAATAGATCCTTCATTATCCATCTTCCTAGGAGCAGTGCTATCTTCTACAGCCTTCTACAGCCCCAGGAACTTCCTCCAAAGTCCATTGTAAACTCTTGTTGTGGTGCTGTACCCTGAAAACTTTGAGACTGACCAAATGGCTACCTTGCCAGCAGTTCTCTCTCCAGAACTCAGCAGCAGGCCTCTACTCAGGTTCTTACAAGGCCTCCAAGCAATACCCACAGGCTAAGAGCCACAGGCTAAGAGCCACAGGGCAAGAGCGAAGGCCCCTTCCTGCCAAGCACAGCAGAGCCCAGCACAATAGGGGGTGGGGCTTGCAACAGCACTCCACAGCAACTCACTCAGCCTCCAACCACCCCCAAATCACAAACAGCCCCAAACAGACTTAAACAGAACCACTATCTATCAGGCTACAAAGAACCCAACTCTCTCTCAGCTCCCACACAGCAGCTAGGAAGGCAAAGGGAGAAAGAAAAACCCCTTACCTTCTAGCAGCAACTCACCATGTGCTCTCCGCTCCTTGCCTCAGCCCAGCTGACTTGGGGGGGGGGGGATTAAATTCAGTGCAGAATGCAACAAAGCATTGCAGATTTCTTTTCCATTTCAATCAGATTTTTCCACCAGAAACCTTTTTCCACTGGGTGTGTGTGTGTGTGTGTGGAATTCCAGAAGTGTTTCACCTATGTTAAGAACTATTTACCCTTAAGGTTGTCTTAAAAGATTATAACGTGCACATTCTAGTTCAGTTGGTAGTTCCTTATAGGTCTTCTTCATTGCCATCACTTTTGTACAGAAATGCTTTAAGGATACAGCCTGAAGGACTGTACGTAATCCAGAAGGGCTGGAATCCCTGTTAACTTGACATCAGTGATATTTAATTTATGTTCACAAATATACAGGAATTCAGACTTTAACTGTGTCATGAATCAATATCTTATTTTGTTTTGTTTCTCACCTGTGGTTTGCTTTTCCAGCCAGTGCACTATGAAGAAAAAAACTGGAGTACAGAACAATATTCTGGTGGCTGCTATACAGCCCGTTTTCCACCTGGCATTATGTTCCAATATGGAAGGTAAAACTAGACGACTGCATTGGAAGTTGGGGGGGGGGGGCAGGTCATTTGACATCCAAAATTTCTGACATATAAAACATAACTGAATATAAATCACAGCACTTAATGTAATATTATACTGAAAAAAATACCAGAAAAGTAGGTGAAATAATATGTACACATTTGTTTCAAAACTGCATAAAATCATCATTCTTAAACTATATTAAGAGTTCAAGGAATGTGTCATTGACTTATGTGTGGTTGAACAGAATTAATTCATCCATGGTCATAGGGTCTAACTGTATGTTACTCACAAATATATAGTTGAAACTGTACCAAATTGAATAACTTGGAGGGTTCAGCCAGGAAGCAGCCATGGACTGTAGACTGACAGTAGTTTGACACCTTCAACTCAAACACCTGGTAGATTCTCTGTTGCAGAAGAACAGACTTCGTACAGTGGTCACTGAGTTTGAACGTCTGCTCTTGCAAAATGGGAAGGGTTCTACAGGTCTAATATCCATTTTATATAAGTTTTTCATTTACGTTTCTTGTTCTCTTCCCTCTTATGTCAAGGCTTGGCATAAGGAAGACCTTTCTTTTATAACCAATAGCCAAAGGACCTCTATCTGGAATTCCTCTATTAATCAATCCAAGATCATTAACATTGAGATCCAGTTTTTTAAAGTTATGGCTCACTGGTAATGTACTCCATTGCAGATTCACCATATGAACTCATCCGACTCACTAATGTGTTGGAAAAGGTGTGGATCTCCTGGTTCCTTTATGCACTGTTGGTGGTCCTGCCCTCTCATCCAAAATTTTTGGTCATCTGTTCAAGACCAAATTTCTATCATCACAGCCCTCTCCATTCCATTACACCCTGGCTCAATGTTGCTAAATTTGTGGGATGATCCCAAAATCCCACAAATTAAGAACAATTTAGTTTCTATATTGTGCGCCGCTGCAAGGTCTGCAATCGCCTCCTCCTGGAAATCTCCCTAACCCCCAATTCTTAAGAGTTGGTACAGGAACATATGGGATTCTCTCACAATGGAAAGGATACTGATACAAACCTCAAATAAAGACCCTTACTCTGCCTCTCTTGATTATTATAATTTTTGGTACCCTGTTTTAAATTTTATTGCTCAAAACAAAGACCTTTTTGATCAGAATTGTGTTATAGATGTTTTCCTATGTTAATTTATTGATACTTGATTATTTACTGTGATTTCATATGTTTATGACAGTTTATTGTCACTGTATCTGATGTTAAATTTTCAATAAAACCTTAAAAAATGAAAGAACTCTGGCAAGAATCATGGAGGCAGGAAACTTGTTTCTGTCTCATGTGGATGTTGGATACATTTAAAATGCTGAGACTAACATTGAGTAGTGCTGAGCTGAAATGAAGGGCTCCCGTTCCCTGCTACTGCAGCAACAAACTTGGTGGTGGGGAAGCAGGCTCTGAACATGTGCAACAATGAAAACTGAAGGGTTTCATAAACCTTTTTACATCCCCCAAATGGCTTTTTTCATTGTAAAAATCCAATCTTATGAAAATTCGACACTGTACTATTACCAGCTATGTGTTAACCGAAGGTGGTTGTCCCTTGTATATCAGCACCTAATCAAAATCTACTGCATGGAGAATGATTATCATTCACTTGTGTATGTGTATTTATATTTTAAAGGGTAATTCGTGAGCCAGTTGGTAAGATCTACTTTGCTGGCACTGAAACAGCTACCAAATGGAGTGGCTACATGGAAGGGGCAGTGCAGGCTGGAGAGAGAGCAGCCAGAGAGGTAAACAGAGCTATTACTCAAGTCTGAAATACAGCAGCTGAGCCAGGAAGATCTCGGTCTCTATATTCATATATAAGCTACTGCTGTTGTGCTAAAGAAAGAAAGCTCATCACATTAGAAGGATTAAAGAACAATTACAGAAGCCAAATCTCTTGTAACAACAAGCTGCTAAGGATTCCCTGTGAGTGGCTGTAGTCAATGGTAGAACATGTGCTTTGCATGTTGAAAGTCTCTGGTTCAGTCCTTGACATCTTTGGTTATTAAAGAATCTCCTATAGCAAGAGTCATTGCTGTCAGTGCCAGTCAGAGTGAACAGCATTGGGGTAGATGGACCACTGGGTTGCCTCAGCATGGAACAGTTGCTTACTCTCATGTACATTATTGTTGATTAATTGATCCTGGAACTTCCTTTTATGCATTAGTATGGTTTTTCAAACAAAGTAGCTAATGATGTACACCAGGATGACTTGAATATCACTCAAAAGATTTCAGTGTAAAATAAACCAATCTGCAGATACAAGAGCGTAATTTCTAGAGAAACAAGTTCCAAAGGGTAACTGTGTTGGTCTACAAATAGAAGAGCTAGATTCTAGTTCAGTAGCACCTTGGAGACCAACAAGATTTCAGGACAATAAGTTTTCAAAGATCCCTTCGTCAGACACTTTGACTCTCAAAAGCTTACACCCCTAAAATCGTGTTGTTCTCTAAGGTGCTATTGGACTCAAATCAAGAATTTTCTTGTAGTCTTATGTGTGTCAGTGATATATGAGGGTCAAGCTAACAAAATCAGTTATTATAAAAATGCAAATATTTGTTATGGTGTACACATTAGTAAAAGATAAAATAGGTTAAAAGAAATGATCCAAATATCAGACTCTAAAAACTTTTTATACACAGAGCTGAAATTTTTACATATACAATTGATGGGTATATCTTATGACCAGTAGACCATATGTGTTTCGGCCCCTTAGGGCCTTCCTCAGTGGTCAATATTACTATTGTAAAACAACACACATCCAGAAAAAAATATATGAAGAATGATTTTCTTTAGAGCCAGGTGTTGCTTTCTCATGTGATGTGCAATAGCTAAAAGTTTACATAGTAGGCCATGGATAATCTCTCATGGTAACTTCACATGCTCTCCAAATTGTTCTGGTAACAAATACCAAATGTGTCTGGGATGTGTGTCTCTTCCATCAAAGGTAGTAATGTATTTGTCTTTTTTCTAGATATTATATAGCATGGGGAAGATTTCAAAGAATGAAATTTGGGTAACGGAACCAGAATCAACGGCAAGTCTTTGCTCCTGTTTTCTTTTGGCGAAGCTAGTGACAGCATTCATGATAAATTTTCTAGTTAGATTAGATGACCTTATTGCCAAGACTTCTGAAAATACTAGGTTGATAATGCAAAGAATTTAACAATGTTGGTAAAGTTTCTAGAGAGTATAATTAAAACAGAAATGTTTTTTCGGTTTGGTCACAAAGAGCCCTACATTCTCCTGTGGGAAGAATGAAGAAAAAATTCCCACTTTCTTCTCCCAGCATCTCACAAATGTACAAGTGTTTAAATCAGTAGATTTTCTGTATAGAAAATATGTAACATTTGGGGCAGCTCTAAGAATTCACCTGTAGCATGCAGCCTGCTGTATAGGCATTGAGTCAGAGAGAGGAGGAGCATCTAATGCAGGGGTGTCAAACATGTGGCCTGGGGGCCATATCAGGCCCCCGGAGGGCTTCTATCAGGCCTGCAGTGGAACTGGCTGTCTCCTGCTTCTTCTTCCAGTTCTGCTGCTGCTGCGTCATCGTAGCTTGCTTTGCCAGACTCTCTCAATCACTCAGGAGAGATAGATAGGCAGGTTTCTGTTCCCTGCACTGGCTGAGGCTCCTCCCCCTCCCCCTGGAATGAGCCAGAGCTTGCTTACTGGCCAGGTTGCCTCAATCACACAGTATAGAAAGACAAGCCTTTCTTCTCTTCCATTGGCTGAGACTCCTCCCTGAAGGAAGGGAGGGAAGGAGGCAGAGCTTACTTTGTTTGGCTGCCTCAATTGCATGGGAGAAATACAAAGCACCTTTAAGACCAACAAAGTGTTGCCCACAAGGCTTTTGTGTGCCTTGCTACAGTGTGTGTTTTGTTGGGTTCATTATGCTGTGGCTCTTTTGAGTGCAACTGGGTTCCCTCCCCCTTTTAACTGTATCCAAGCCCTCATGACCCAATCTTGCTCAGTAGGAAATCGCTGTGAATTATTTAAATGAGGAATAACAACAAGCCAGTGAGGTGGATTAGGCTGAGAGTGTGTGTCCAGACCAAGTTCACCCAGCACATTTCCTTTGGGAATTTTGAACTTAGACTTCCCAGATAGTAGGCTGATACTGACCACTGAGGAAGACTATAGTTTTGTAGACAAACACATAGCCCTCAGTCTGTGTCATGGTGCCTTCTAATGTTCTTGACCAGCAAACAAAGCAATGTATGTACAAAAGCTCACAGTGCCCAGCCATGTCATGTTTTCCCCTGGGCCCTAGGCTCAGAACTCTGAGCATCAGATTTCTGTAGTGAATGTCAATAAATCAAAAGTAGGTTTGCAGCTTACAGATACACACTTGAACAGCATATCAAGATTGTGACAGTACAGACATTTTGATGCAATAATTCAGAGCAAGAGGTGTCAGTTATCAGACACTGTTAAATAAACAAAATATTGCAGAGAGTGCTAATGTTTTAAGCATGTTTTTAAGTTAAAATGGGGAATTTCCATTCGCTGGTTCCTTATAATGCCGGGGGGGGGGGGGGTTAATCAGAGGGAGCTCTAATGGGAAACCTGCTGTTTTACTGACTTAAAAACAAGTCTAATGTTCCCTTTTTCTTTTCTGCCTGTTTTTTTTTTTTTTACAATTGAACAACTGAATTAATTGTTTATTATTCGGTGCAGTTCTATACCCTACATTGCCTTTCTGCTGCACTGCTCTCCCAAGACCCAGTCTCAACCTTCCGCTAGTTTCCTGCACCTTTAATATTCTCCAGTCATTCTCTCACACAGTCTTGTGAGCTCTCAGTGCAACTGCATTTCTAAAGATTCAGAATCTGAGCTGACCCACACACTTTTAGCATCCTTTAGCACCCTTTAGAATGGAGACAGTCCTCAGATAATTCAGAGTGGATTGGTTGTGACTGAAGGAAGTTAAGAGCCCCTTTGTTTCCCCGCCCACAAATGAGTCTCCATTATTTGAGGATGACGAGTGTATTTCCTGCTGCATTGTATTATACCCTAATTATCAATATATTTCTGCTTAGGATGTCCCAGCTCTACCAGTTACTACAACATTTTTGGAAAGAATCTTGCCATCTGTTCCAGGACTGTTGAGATTTCTTCGATTTTCCTGTTTCTTCACTTCAGTGGCTGCAGCTGGCCTCTTTGTCTTTAAAAGGGGGCGTACTTTTCAGAAGTGTACCTAAAGCAACAGTTTAAATCTTTGCCTTTATGCTTGTGACTGCTATTTTTGGAGCAAAGTATTTCATGTCTTCTTTGGAACACCTGAATCAACACGTCAAAACCAGTTTAATCAGTATTGTTTACAATCTCAGAATACACAATAGTGAATCAATGGAGGTTTCTGTTTTCTTTCTGCATTGACTTTTCTTGATTGACGGAATAAAGTCACTGGTCTGCCCGCCCCCTGCCCCCACTCCCCTTTGATTGTCATGAAATCAGACTTTGAAATTTTCACTCCCCTTTGATTGTGAAGCAATCAAAATTTGAAAATTTCAAATACCTTTGGAAAATTTAAACTAATCTTTTTTAAAAAAACTCTTGTGAACAAATGAATATTAAAAGCTTAGTCAAGTAGTTTATTCAGCGAGGTGCTTAGGTTGTCAAGTGGCTGCATCTAGTTTACTGCTGTGTTAAAGTTTCAAAATCTGTAAATGTATTTTCAGCAAGTAAATGTTGAGATTTAAATAGCACAGAGTCAAGCAAAGATAAGCTGAGAGCATTAATATTAGAAACAACATTATGAAGAAAAGAGGAAGAAGTGAGGGTTTCTAGGGCCATGTCAGTGAAGAAGAAGAAGGAGGAGGAGGAGGGGGAGATTGGATTTATACCCCGCCCTTCACTACCCAAAGGTGTCTCAGAGCGGCTTACAAATTCCTTTCCCTTCCCCTCCCCACAACAGACACCCTGTGAGGTGGGTGAGACTGAGAGAGCTCTTGACAGAAACTGCCCTTTTTCAAGAACAGCTCTTATCAGAACTACGGCTTGCCCAAGGCCATCCAGCCAGGTGCAAGTGGAGGAGTGGGGAATCAAACCTGGTTCTCCCAGATTAGACTCCGTGCACTTAACCACTACACCAAACTGAATCAGAAGTGGTGGTGTATTCTGTTTCCATGTGTCTGTAAAGTGCTGTCAAATCGGTGAGCCAGCAACCACATGACCCCCATAGGGTTTTCAAGGCAAGAGATGTTCAGAGGTGGTTTGCCATTGCCTGCCTTAGCATAGTGACCCTGGATTTTCTTGGTGGTCTTCCCAGCCAAGTACTAACCAGTGCTGACCCTGCTTAGCTTCCAAGATACGATAAGATCAGGCTAGCCTGGGTTATCCATGTCCGGGTTTCTAGTTGCGTACTTGCTGCATTTCACAAGAAAGTTCCTCATTTCTTCCACATTCATTTCTTCCATTCACATTTCCACACATCTTCCATACATGGTGCAATTTTTCTGGAGAGATGGCATAGAAATTTTCCTAAATGCACACAATACACAAATATTTCATCTTTTACAAATTATTTAAAATAGAAATTAAGCAGAAAATGCATGTATGATTATTACCTTTTAAAAACATCCTTCTTCCACACAATGTATTGAATGAATTAAGACAGGCTGCATTCTCAACTGCAATGTATGACAAACTCCTACTTTATATTTTTTTTATTTATTTATTATGAGATTTCTATCCCGCCCTACCCAGTGGCTCAGGGCGGCTAACAGCATACAAATACTAAAACAATAAAATACGTTTTTTTAAATACAATAAAAACTGGTGCTTCAGTCTATATACCATTTACAGATACTCGGCGATTATTTGCTGCCTGTGATCTTGACAATAGAAGCGTCCCCGACGCAACAAACTAATCAACCTCCATGGAGTCTGGTAGAAGGACAATACAACGGCGGTGGTGAGGCGATGATGGTGGTGGTGGTGGCAGCGGCTCCTACCCAAAGGCCTGGTGGAAGAGCTCCGTCTTGCAGGCCCTGCGGAACTGCACTAGGTCCCGCAGGGCCCGGATCTCCTCCGGGACCTCATTCCACCAGGAAGGAGCCGCCACGAAAACGCCCTAGATCTCGTGTGGGCCAACCTCCCCACTCGGGGGCCTGGAACTACCAGACGATGGAGCATCCCCGATCTCAGTGCCCTTGAGGGAACATACGGGAGGAGACGGTCCCTTAGATAGGCAGGACCCTGGCCATTCAGGGCTTTAAAGGTAAGCACCAGCACTTTGAAGCGAATCCGGTATGCTATAGGCAGCCAGTGCAGCGCTTGCAGCACAGGCCGGATGTGGTCTCGCCTGGAAAGACCCATCAACAGCCTGGCTGCAGCATTCTGCACTAGCTGCAGCTTCCGGATTTGCGACAGAGGCAGCCCTAAGTAGAGAGCGTTACAGTAGTCCAGCCTCGAGGTGACCGTCGCATGGATCACAGTGGCCAGGTCGTCCCGGTCGAGATAGGGAGCCAACTGCCGCGCCAGCCGCAGATGATAAAAGGCTGACTTGGCAGTGGCCGCTACCTGGGCCTCCATCGTTAACGAGGAGTCCAGGAGCACACCCAAACTCCTAACCTCCCGCACGGGCACCAATGGTACCCCACCGAAGGCCGGGAGAGGGTGCCCCAACTCGTAACCGCTTCGACACAGGCCCAGGACCTCCGTCTTTGCCGGGTTTAGTTTCAACCGACTCAGTCTGAGCCAACCAGCCACGGCCTGCAACGCCCGCACTAGGTCATCGGGAGTGGAGTCTGACTGGCCGCCCAACATCAGATAGAGCTGGGTGTCATCGGCATATTGATGACACCCAAGCCCACACCTCCGGGCAATCTGGGCAAGGGGGCGCATGTAGATGTTAAACAACATCGGAGATAACACGGCCCCTTGGGGCACACAACATTCAAGGGGGAGCCTTCGCGACCGATGATCTCCTATCGCCACCCTCTGTCCCCGACCTTGGAGAAAAGAGGCAAGCCATTGAAGGGCAAGCCCCTGAATCCCCACGTCGGTGAGGTGGTGAGCCAGCAACCGGTGGTCGACCATGTCAAACGCGGCCGACAGATCTAACAACACCAGTGCCGCCACACCGCCCCGATCCAGATGCCTACGGAGATCGTCAGTCAGGGCGACCAGTACCGTCTCCGTCCCGTGACCCGGGCGGAAACCGGACTGGAAGGGATCAAGGATGGAAGCCTCATCCAGGTAGCCCTGCAACTGTGACGCCACCGCCCTCTCAATAAATTTCCTCTCTATGAGGCAGTTTTTCCTGTCAAAACACTGTTCCCCTCTCTGACTGAGCAGCCTCTTACTAGCGCATTTGAATTACAGAATTATAACTTTCTGTGTGTCCCACCCTGTGATAGAGAAGTGATTTGGCTTTTGCCCATGCCAGAGATTTATTGTAACTCAGCAGGAGCCCTCTTATAAATCCCTTTGGAAATTACACTTGACACAAACTTCTCATGTGATTTGTCTGTTTCCCTAGACTGACATACACACTTCTGACTGGTAACTGACAAGCCGAAGTCCAACGTACCACTGATTCTTTTCCTCAGCACTCAGCTGCTCTTCAAGTACTTGTCAGTGGGCACTGACCAGTCAGAGTCAATCAAACTGTGCTTTACAATGAGGCATTAACCCCTAATCTCCCAGTTCTCTGGATCTGATGCACTAAGCATCCTGCATTTGGAGGTCAGTTCATCACACAGTGCCTCCTGTCTAGCTAAGGCCACAGCAATTGTAAACAGTCCCTTTTTCTGAAAGCAAGGCCATTCCCAGACCTTTATCTCATAGTGGTGTTGGGGGAAAGTGGCAGAGGTTTGCTGCAGCAGGGAAAGGGAAGAGCCAGCTAGCCTAATGCTGCCTTCTTTGTGATGGAGTTGGGGGTGGGAGGCTGTATAGGGGCCAGCATCTATCCCAACCCCCTGTCTTTTGACCATTGGCAAGGGAAGCATGATGAACATAGGGTGGGGCGAGTAAGCACAAGGGGTATTGAGCTCCGGGCTCCTGCTGCCCTTCCACAAGCCTCCCCTGTATCAGAGACCTCCAGCCATGCCAGCCCTCTGCGACACACTTCCCTACAAGCCACACAGGAATAGTCTAACCCATTGCCTCCCTCCTCTGCTGCAGTGCTGAACCCAACCAAAGCTGTGACAGCATCCTCTCGGGTGTGTTTCCCCCATTTCTGAGGAAGAACTTTGCTGTGACCTTAGCTAGATGCTGCACAGTGAGCAAGCTTAGCCAGAATTCATCTGGCTGGATGTTAAAGCAAAAGGGTGGATATGTTTTGGACTGTGATCTTTTAGCCCCTTTGGCATACTGTGTACAATGCCTTGCTGACTAGAAAAGAGTCAATGTAAGCCAAGTTATGGTGTTTTTGTTGGCAGAGTTCAGTGACGGTGCCACTCCAGACTGCAAGCAAAGGCTTGTAATATTATACTCCACTGTACAAGACATTTCTCTCAACCTATTAAAACTAGACATCAGGAAAGGAGAGTCTGAGCCTAGCTTTCTCCTAAGGATGCTGACTGGAACTAATATATATATATATTATGGAGGGAGATTCAACTGCACACCCCCTTCCCAGCAGTGTGAAGCACTGCAGTCCAGGCACTGGTTTACTGCCTCAGTGAGAGGTCTATTAATTACAGCATTGTTTTACAAACTTGAACACTTTTCTTGTTCATTTGAGGTGAAATCCTTAAGCTGCATTTCTTAGAAAACAAACATGCTTATTTTTGTATCCAGTACAAAGACATTCTATAACTTTGTTGCTGGAGAGAAATGAAGAGAAGTTTTAACTTGGTCTGTGGCTAACTCTGGCAAAAACCAAACTGGAGGCACTTGAAATTCATCCATGTGGAGGTTGGTTTTACTTCTTGTAGCATGTGGTAGACCTGGTAATTTTTGCTACATGGTTTATCACATTTTACGCACCATGTTGTGAACTGTCACTTTTTAAGCACTTTGCATGAAAGAATTTTCACATGCTGAGTTTTCACAGAATTAAAAAGTAAAGGTAAAGGTTCCCTTGCTCGAAAGCCAGTCAAATCCGACTCTAGGGTTGTGGTGCTCATCTCCGTTTCAAAGCCGAAGAGCCAGCGCTGTCCGAAGACATTTCCGTGGTCATGTGGCCGGCATGACTAAACACCAAGGTGCATGGAATGCTGTTACCCTACCACCGAAGTGGTACCTATTTATCTACTTGCAATTTCTTGCTTTCGAACTGCTAGGTTGGCAGGAGCTGGAACTAAGTTTCAACTAATTTAAGTTTCAGCTAATTGCCACCTTCTTGTTTATTTATTTGAATAGCTGAGTTTCCTTGAAAGGAAGGGGCTGAAGAGTCCTTGGTAGGATTATTCCTCTAGAATTAACATCCTTCCACCCCACCAAGAGTTTGAAACCTTCTTCCAGTTTAAGTTGTTCTTCCTCCCATTGAACTCTCTGTATCTTGGCCTTTGTGTCTACCATGT